ATCCTTATTCTCTCCTGCATCTTGCTTTCAGCCACATGCCCTTGGGTTATTTGGAAATCCCTAACATGGGCCAGAGACTTGGAATGTTACCTTTGTAGCAGGCTCATTCTCTGAGATCTCATGTCTTGCCCAGGTGGAGATCACCCCTTAGCAGTAGCTGGGGGGGGGGGTGCCTGTGGGCGAGAACTGGCTGGGGGGCGGTACTGGCAGGTGAGAGCTGCACAGAGCTGCTTGCGCGCCTCCGACTAGGAGCCGGACCTGCTGCTGGTCGCTTCTGGGGCACAGCACGGTCCGCGGTGCCAGGACAGGCAGGAAACCTGCCTCTGCACCCCCACTGTGCTGCTGACCAGGAGCCGCCCGAGGTAAGCCCACGCCCCAATCCCCTGCAGCAGCCCTGAGCCCCCCAAACCCGGAGCCCCCTCCTGCAACCCAAACCCCTCATCCCTGGCCCCACCCCAGAGCCTGCATCCCCAGCCCAGAGCCCTGACCCCCTCCCGCACCTCTGCCCAAGCCCAGAGCCCCCTCCCACACCCTGAACCTCTCATTCCTGGCCCCACCCTGCAGCCCTCATCCCCGCACCCAAACCCTCTGCCCCAGCTCTGAGCCCCTCCCACACCCCAAACCCCTCATCCCCAGCTCCCTTGGGTCACGGGCATCAACAATTTTCTTCAACTGGGTCCCCAGAAAAAAAGTTTGAAAACCACTGTCCTAAAGGATTCTTTCCTGGCTCATTGGTTTCTAATGGAAGAGATTACATAGATCACGAAACCAGAAGGGACTACTGTGATCATCTAGTGTGCCCACAGGCCATAGGAGTTCACTGAATTCATTTCTGTTTGAACTAAATTTTTTTTAGAAAAACATCCAATTTGATTTAATATTGCCCAGGACGGAGAATCTGCTACAACTGTAAGGAAGTTGTTCCAATGGTTCCTTCGCCATTAAAAATTTGAGCCTGATTTCTGGTCTGAATGAGCCTAGCTTCACAGCTATTGGATCGTGTTATACCTTTCTCTGCCAGGTTGAAGAGCCCAGTATCAATTGTTTGTTGTAGGTACTTTAAATAAACTGGAGTTAAATTACCCCTTAACCTTCTCTTGGCTAAACTCAACAGATTGAGCTGCTTGAGCACTGGACTGTTCCCTCTAAGTGGTAGGGAGGTAGAACTGTAGGCAATCAGTGGTAGATTAATGATTTTGCCACCCCTAGGCCCAGAAATAATTGCCGCCCCCTCCCAGCAGCTCCCCCCTGCCCCAGCTCACTTCCACTCCGCCTCCTCCCCTGAGCGCGCTGCTGGGTCCTGCTTCTCCCCGCTCCTTGCCAGTGCTTGCACGTGAAACAGCTTCACAAAGGAGGGGAGAAGGGGGGGAACAAGGCTTGCTCAGGAGAGGAGGCGGGGCCAGGATTTGGGGAAGGGGACCAAGAGGGGCAGGGAGGGGGCGGGGAATGGGGGCGGGGAAGGGTGGAGTTGGGGCAGGGGCAGAGGGCGCAAACCAGTACTGGGGGAAGCAGCCTCTGGCTGCTATTATAAATTTGCCACCCCTGCAAATTTGCCACCCTAGGCCTTGTTGGCCTAGGCATTAATACACCACTGTATACAATGGAGATTTGGGAATTTGGGGTTTGTCTACATAGGGAAATTGACTGGCATAGCTATAGGGAATAATTAGTCTGGTATAGCTATTCTGGAACAGCTCCTCATGTGGATACTCTATTCCAGAATAAATGAGACCTTAGTGTCCACATGGTACTCCTGAGGGCATTCTGTGCCAAAAAATTCTGTGCATAATATTTTAAAATTCTGCAAATTTTATTTGTCAAATGTGGAGGCTCCAGCATGGCATTGGGGAGCACAGGACACTGTGCAACTCCCCACCCCGGGACACAGACTCAGCGGTGAGGCTGCATCCAACACAATGCAAGGACCAGGCCTGCCCCAGAAACACCCCAGGGCCCCGCCCCTCTGTACCAAGTGCACCAGGTGTGAGCAGGCAGGCTCAGCAAGGCAGGATCCAAGTGTGGAGGGGCTTAGTGTGGGGGGGTCCAGGTGTGGGTTGAGAGGGTTCTGTGTGGGGCAATCTGGGTGCAGGTGGCTCTGTGGGGGATCCGGGTGCAGGGAGGGGATCTGGATGCACAGCGGCTTGTTGGGGGGTTCTGGGTGCACCGGTAATGGGACTCTGCAGGGGGGGTCCATGTGAAGGTGGTTGGGGCTCAGCGGGGGGTGCTGGGTGGGGGGGATAGAGCTCGGCGGGGGTCTGGGTGTGGCGAGCTCAGTCGGGGGTCCAGTTGCTCGGGGAGTGGGGCGGGGATCCAGGTGCAGCTGGTTGGGGCTTGGTAGGGTGGGGATCTGGGTGCAGGGGGCTTGTTGGGGTGGTCCAGGGGAAGTGGGGCTCATCAGGGGGCTCCAGCATGGGATGCTATTGCGACCCTTACTTCTGCGCTGCTGCTGGCAGGGCGCTGCCTTCCGAGCTGGGCGCCCGCCTAACAGCCGCCGAGGTAAGGGTGGCAGTACAGCAACCCCCCCCCCCCCCAACCTTGTGCCCTCCCTGCACGTCACTTTTGGGGCAGGACCCCCAGTTTGAGAAACGCTGGTCTCCCCCCTGCAATCTGTGCTGTACAGGGTAAAAGCCCCCAGAAGACCAATTTCACCGGGTGGAGGGGGAGTGACCAGATTTCATGGTCTGTGACACTTTTCATGGCTATGAATTTGGTAGGGCCCTAATCAGGGGCCTCCTCAGAGGGCTGCTGCCCCCTCCTCAGCCCAGTGCATCATGGGAGCTCTCAGGGGGCGGCTGCCCCCTCCTCGCCACCCCAGTGCATCATGGGAGCACTCAGACGTGACCCCCGCCCTCAGTTCAAGATGCGGGGCGGGACCCGCTCGCTCAATACCTCTCTCTTACTGGCTGGGTACCCGGCTAGCCTAGCCTCCCATTGGTTAGAAGGCGTGGGAGCTGATTGGCCTTGGGGGAGCAGCAGCGATGTGGCTCGCCCGGCCACCCGTGCAGCGATTGGTTCAGAGAGGAGGCGCGGCGCCGTGATTGGGGGTTGGCTGCGGCGGGCGTGTGCGGGCAGGCGGGGCTGGGGAGAGGGAGGTGAGCGGAGCCGGTGACTACGACGGCGGAGACAGGTGAGGGGGCTGGCTCGGTGCGGGGCCAAGGGGGTTGGGGCGGGGGTTGAGGGACCAAGGGGGCTGGCTCGGGGCCGGGGGTTGCGGGGGACCAAGGGGGCTGGCTCGGGGCCGGGGGTTGCGGGGGACCAAGGGGGCTGGCTCGGGGCGGGGGTTGCGGGGGACCAAGGGGGCTGGCTCGGGGCCGGGGGTTGCGGGGGACCAAGGGGGCTGGCTCGGGCCGGGGGGTTGCGGGGGACCAAGGGGGCTGGCTCGGGGCCGGGGGTTGCGGGGACCAAGGGGGCTGGCTCGGGGCCGGGGGTTGCGGGGACCAAGGGGGCTGGCTCGGGGCCGGGGGTTGCGGGGACCAAGGGGGCTGGCTCGGGGCGGGGGTTGCGGGGGGCTGGCTGGGGCGGGTTGGGGGGGGACCAAGGGGGCTGGCTCGGGGCCGGGGGTTGCGGGGGACCAAGGGGGCTGGCTCGGGGCCGGGGGTTGCGGGGGACCAAGGGGGCTGGCTCGGGGCCGGGGGCTGCTCGGGGCGGGGACCAAGGGGGCTGGCTCGGGGCCGGGGGTTGCGGGGGACCAAGGGGGCTGGCTCGGGGCCGGGGGTTGCGGGGACCAAGGGGGCTGGCTCGGGGCCGGGGGTTGCGGGGGACCAAGGGGGCTGGCTCGGGGCCGGGGGTTGCGGGGGACCAAGGGGGCTGGCTCGGGGCCGGGGGTTGCGGGGGACCAAGGGGGCTGGCTGGGGCCGGGGGGGGGGGGACCAAGGGGCTGGGGCCGGGGGTTGCGGGGGACCAAGGGGGCTGGCTCGGGGCCGGGGGTTGCGGGGGGCGGGGCGGGGGACCAAGGGGGCTGGCTCGGGGCGGGGGTTGCGGGGGACCAAGGGGGCTGGCTCGGGGCGGGGGGTTGCGGGGGACCAAGGGGGCTGGCTCGGGGCGGGGGTTGCGGGGGACCAAGGGGGCTGGCTCGGGGCGGGGGGTTGCGGGGGACCAAGGGGGCTGGCTCGGGGCCGGGGGTTGCGGGGGACCAAGGGGGCTGGCTCGGGGCGGGGGGTTGCGGGGGACCAAGGGGGCTGGCTCGGGGCGGGGGTTGCGGGGGACCAAGGGGGCTGGCTCGGGGCGGGGGTTGCGGGGACCAAGGGGCTGGGGGGCGGGGGTTGGGGACCAAGGGGGGGGGGGACCAAGGGGCTGGCTCGGGGCCGGGGTTGCGGGGGACCAAGGGGGCTGGCTCGGGGCCGGGGGTTGCGGGGGACCAAGGGGGCTGGCTCGGGGCCGGGGGTCTGGCATGGGGTGGAGTGGGGGCTGTAGTAGCCAAGGAAGTAGGGGGCCTGGCATGGAGTGGGGAGATCTGGGGTGTGAGAGGGGAGAGATCTGGAGTGGGGGTGACCCTGGGACAATGCGGAGGGTAAGATATGGAGGAAACCTCATGTGCTGGGGGGAAAGGTGGGATGGTGATCTGGGTGTGGGGGGGGGAGACCAGAGCAGCTGGATCCAGGGTAGCTGAGGGATGTTGGGGGGTAGTATAGTGGAGGTGTTTAGGGAGCTGTATTATGGAGGAGATGGGGTGTCCTTGGGGAAGCCAGGCCTGGCCGCACAGCAGCAGCCTGGCGGGGCTTTGGTGTGGGGAAGTAGGGCAGGCTAGCATGAGTGGGTTGGGGTTGGCTTAGGCACACTGGCTGCATGGGGTGTGGAGCTGAGGTGCGTGGCATGGTGGGGTGGGCTGGGTTGGCTCTAGTGGGTTGGACGTAATGGCACAGAGGTGAGTGGTCTGGGGGTTAGATATGCTGTTGGAGAGGGTGGAATGTAGGCCTGGATGGGGGCAGGTGGGTTGGCGTGGAAGGGGGTGATTGTGGATCTGGGGTGATGGCATTAAGGGCAGCGGAATAGGGGGTGTCTGATTGCAGGAGTTTAGCTCTGATTAAAAACAAAATATAAAATGCCAACACTCAAAATGCTTTTGCCGATGCCTAAGTCCCTGCTCACGTCTTCCCAGGAGCAGGTGGTGGAAACCAAGGTACCAGATTAGCTGGACCTTGTGCCTGATCCCTGGTAGTAGTTCCCATGGTTGGTGGTAGTTCCCGTGATTGATTGTCAGGTGCACAAGTTTCTACTCCTCCTTGTGCAGGTTTGCTCAACAGCTGAGCTGTGCTGTTGAGAGAACCTGATGCCACAATCTGCTTGGCCTGCCAGCTGCCTTTATTTTGCAAGAATGGTAACTGTGCTTAGTGTCACGTCCAGCTGACTCTGATTAAATGTTACCTGCCAGATCACTGGCCTATCCTTTCTCTCCCACCAATAGCAGTGTTACTTGCATGCAAAAGACTTGTGCTTCTGTTTCTCTGATCTCCCCCCTGGTTTGGAAGAGTGCAGCCTGACAGTTACAGCTCGTACACCTTGACAGATCAGATTTGTGATGCAGAGCGATCCTGCAGAAGGCTTAAAAGCCTGCGGCTATCTGTGAGCAGCTTGAACAAGTCCTGGCATGTGCCAGTCGCGTTTTGAGGTTTGCCCTGGTCTGGCAGTGCCCAGGGCTAGTGGAGTCTGTGCCATTGGGACTGCCAGTCATGCCAATTGTGGTGGTCTCAGGAAGAGGAGCTGCTGTTGTGGCTAAGAGAATTCCTCTTCTCCCCCCCTCCCAATTAGAACGTGATCCATCAGTCTGGGAAAGATGTCAACAGACCAGGGTTACTGGACCAACCTGACAACCCTTCAGAAAATCGCTCTGGCCCTCGGGATCCCTGCCAGCGCAACTGTCCTGTACATCTTGTATCGCAGGTACAGAGAAAGCCGAGGTATGTATGCATCACCCCGTAGCAATGACCTTCGGGTGGCCGAGACTCCGTTGTTGTGTGGTGACTAACAGCTTGTGTGTTGCATTTAGGCTTGAATTACTAATTATACGGCCTCCTTCCACCTCCACCCCATCCCCAGCCTTGCCAAATGTTGGCAGGTGGTCAGAAATAAGCCTCTCCCATGCGAAAGAGAGAGCTGGCAGCATATCCGGGGGTGATCCCTGGGGACAGGAGGCCTGCTTTCTGAGCAGCTTTGTCTGTTCTGAATTTCCTCTGTGCTTTCTATAATGCCATCCCTGAAAGAAGCTAAAATCCTTTCACCCTCCTGCTAATTCCTTCCCGGATCCTGCCTGGTGCTTGAGGAAATGCAAACACACTTAGCACTGAAAGGTTAAATGTCTCAGTACTCTGGAGCTTTGCAGATTCCCCTTCTCTTCTGTCCTGGAGCTGCTGAACTAGCGGGATTGTCCATCTTCAGGCTGTGGGGAAGATGGCTTTGGGGGGTGGATGCGTTAGCCTGTTTAACCTGTTTACTGTGGCTTGTGCTCAGAGGAGCGGCTGACCTTCGTAGGAGAGGATGACATTGAAATTGAAATGAAGATCCCACAGGAGGCTGTGAAATTGATCATCGGACGGCAGGGCGCCAGTATCAAACAGGCAAGTGGACAGCGGTTAGCGAGTCCGGCATCAGTGCCTGGCCCTACCATTGGCTTCAGTGTATTCTTCCCTCTGGACCCCCCACTCCATCCCTGAGAGTCCCAAAGATCTTTGTATAAGCTGTTGCAGCCAGGTTGGCAACTGGTCCAGCAGCCTGGGGAGGGGAAGATTTGGGCACAGATGCCAGGGGAGGACAATACTGCTATAAAATGTGCCACTGGATGTTAATGCCCATCCCTTGGCTTTTAAAGAGCCACCCATGCTAACAGGCTCCAAGGGACAAAGGCTGAATCGATCGCATTTCCAAGAGGTCTGAGTTTTAAGGCTGATGCTCAGTCTGCTAAACCATCCCCTCTGCTGGAGAACCTTGCTACACTTCCATGTCCTGTGTCTCCGCAGCTGAGGAAGGAGACGGGCGCTCACATTGATGTGGAGGACTCCGGTGAGGAGCGGGTGCTGCTGATCAGTGGCTTCCCCGTCCAGGTGTGCAGAGCGAAAGCTGCTATCCACCAGATCCTGGTGGACAACGCCCCTGTGTCAGAACAGTTCTTTGTGCCGCAGAGAGCCGTTGGCAGGATTATCGGTAACTGGCTAGAGACTTACCCACCCACCTCCCATTAGCCACCAGAAGAAATGCAAAGGGCCTGGGCAGAAATGACCCAGGGGCTGGTTTTTAAAGCTGCTACAGAAGCACTGACCGCAGCTGTGCTGAAACATGGTGACTGCTACATACGGCTTCAGTCTGTTGACCAGAGCGTTTGCTGTTCCTATTCCTGGGTAGAGGGGCTTGGGAGAAATATTGAGACATAACAGTAAATCTGCATCCAGAGCCCGGGATTGAATAGTTATGCCCCTTCTCCACTCATTGGCTCCTTAGGGTGACAAGAAGTCTCATTATGCTGCCTCAGTTTATCAAACTGCAGTGTCTCAAATCTAAGCACCTTTATTTTGCACTTTGATCCTGGCGCACTTTAGAAGCCTGTATTTATAAAGCTAGGGTGAATCGCCAACCACAGGACTGACATCTCTGGGGTAGAATACTGCTTTTGTTCGATGGAGACACAGGAGGGGAAGGAGACTATGACCTGACCAGCTGGAAACTGGCTTGGGCTGTGAGAGATCTGGGTTGAACTCCCTTCTCCACCACTGACTTCCTGTGTGACCTTGTGCCAGTCATTTAATTTCCGTGCCTCAGTTTCCCCACCTGTATCGTGGCAATAACAGCCCTGCCCTGTCTCACAAGAGGGCTCTGAGTATAAATACCCTTAAAGACTGTGTGGTGCTTGGCTGGTTCGGTGTTGGGGGCTAGATATGTATCTAAGATAACACAGAAATACAGGAAGCCCAGCTGTGGTTGCCTCAATCGGAATTTAGCCAGCAAAATCGGGCTCAGCTCCTTGCCTCTTTCACAAAGCACGAGAGATCAGGCCCTGGAATTTGCATCACATCTGAAGGATGGCCCTGTACCCCATGTGTCGTGCTGGAGCGCTTGTTACTAGCTAGCTGTACCTATAGGCTGCAATGAAAAACCTGTGGCCGCGAATCTCAGAGCCTGGGTCAGCTGACTCGGGCTCATGCTACAGAGCTAAAAACAGCAGTGTAGACATTGAGGCTTGGGCTGGAGCCGTCAGGTTTTGGGGCCTGAGCCTGAACATCTGCACGGCTGTTTTTAGCCCCATGGCACAAGCCTGTGTCATTGGCCCCAGGCTCTGAGACTTGCTGCCCACGGGGCTTTGATTGCAATGTAGACACACGCTGAGCGGCAACCAGCATCTTCCAAAATCGCAGTTGGATCTGTCTAAGTTCTTATGGTGGTGCCCATCGCTGCAGCATCTGGGTGCCAGCAGCTATTCATCCTTCGCTAAAAACATCTCCTTGGAGCGGAGCAGCCAAAACCCAAATTTCTGGAGGCGCTTGTGTTCTGGCCACAAGAAAAATGACTCTGGGGGAGTGGACGTTCCCCTCAGAGCCATTTCTTTGGCGGGGTTCTCTGTAGTTTCTCTGCCGCTGTTGCTGCGTGAGTAACCTACTTCTCGTTGCCTCTCTCAGGCAGGGGCGGCGAGACGGTGCGAGCCATCTGTCGCAGCTCAGGGGCCAGAGTGGTCTGCGAGAAGGAGACAGACAACACCCTGTGTCTGACCCGGCTCATCAGCCTCTCAGGGACCCGCAAGGAGGTGAATGCTGCCAAGGTGGGTCTGGGGTGACTGCCCTCTTTAAGAGGGACTGGTCGGCTGTCTCCCGGTCTGGCTTAAGAAAAGGTCGCTGAGCTGGGAGCTGCTGGCGATGAGCTCTCAGGACGGGCTCGAGCAGGAGAACGCTGCCAAGCTGCAGGAAGGCTTGTTCAGAAATCCCTAGGGAGGAGGGGAAGAACTAGGCTGGAGTGGATGAAAGGGAAACTGAGGCAGGGCATGCCCATACTGTAAAGATTAGCCACAGAGCAGTGCCCTGTGTGGGGGTTACCCTGTCACAGGGTCTCCTTCCACATGGGCTGGTGGCTGTGAGCCAAACACCCTTTTCCCCCTTCATCTCCCAAAGCAACTGATCCTGGAAAAGCTTTCGGAGGACGACGTGTTTCGAAAGAAACTGGCCCTGTCGGCGGCAGCCCGGTGCCTGCGCAAGCAGCCCTTGGGCATGAGGAGAGAGGATCCTGGGCAGCAGGGGGAGCTGCCAAGCCCCAGCGGCGAGGCCCTCTGCCAGCTGGTGAGCCCTCAGGAAGGGGCAGGGGATGGAAACCGGCTGCTGGCTGCAGAAGCCTTGGACCAACCACAGGAGCTCAGAGCTGAGAGCGAGTCCCCAGAGGAGCCGGTAATGGAGCCCAGCCAGGCAGTGCCCATGTTTGAGGGTGAGTGGAGCGTTTTTCTCCAGGGCTGGCTTAAACAGAGGATGCGTGGCGTACGGCCAATGGGGTTGCTGCCCTAGCCCTTTGAGGGGCATGGGCTGGCCGCTGAGACCTAGGACTCCTGGGTTCTCTTCCTGGCTCTTCGATTGACTCGCTGGCCTCGGAGCAGCACCCTCCCCACTCTGTGCCTTGGTTTCCCTATCTGTTCAGCGTGGGTTAGGTGTCTGCATAGGTTGCTCTCCTGGAGAAAAGCAGCTGTAAAGAGAAAAGGGTTGGGGCTGCATGTCACGCAGCGTCAGTCTGTGGATTGCCTGAGGCTTGGGTCCCTGGGGCTCGCCTTCTCCCTTACACCGCGGCCCTGACTCTCAGGAGCTGCCCTGCCCAGTGGGACCACATGCCACTCTATCCATGTCTTTTAGGGCACCGAGACCCTTCCTCACGGGGGGCGCCTTTGCCGTCCTGCCAGGATGGAGGGTATCTTAGCTGGCTGCTCCCACTTTGTCCTCCACAAACCTGCTCTGAGCGGGGTCGCGGTGTGCCACTCCTCTCCTGTGAGCGGGGTGCCTGCAGATCTACCTGCGCGTCGCTCCTCAGCGGTCCTAGCATGCGGTGAAATGTCTCCCCCCGCCCACCCCAAGACCCTTGTCCCTCTGTCTGGATCAGCAGCCCACGCTTGGACTTCCAGAGCTTCGCTCGTACCCTCTGCCTCCCTCTCTGGGTTACCCTGGGCCTCCCCTTCCCCTCTTGCTCAGTGCGGTGTGCCCCTCTCAGTCCCCAGCCCTGACTTCAGCTTCCACGCGGACGAACACCTGGAGGTTTACGTCTCGGCCTCAGAGAACCCCAGCCACTTCTGGATCCAGATCGTTGGCTCCCGCAGCCTGCAGCTCGACAAGCTGACCTGTGAGATGTCCCAGTACTATGGGAGTAGCAGCCAGTCGGTGAGCATCTGCCGTGGCATGCCCCACCTGACACGACGGCTGGGTAAACCTGCCGCAGCCGAATGGAATGGTGTGCCTCCCCCACGCCCACTAGCCGAAGAGGAGTTAATCCTTCTCTTCCTCCCCTGCTGCTTGAACCTGCATCGCTTCCTGATCTAGCCCCGAGAACCTGCGCATGTGACTCCCTGCCCCTCCTTCTGTCTCGCCAGCCTGAATTCCCGACCGTCCGAGTAGGCGACATCGTGGCTGCCCCGTACGCTGATCACGGCGCCTGGTACCGGGCCCGAGTCCTGGGTACCCTGGAGAACGGCAACTTGGATCTGTATTACGTCGACTTTGGGGATAACGGGGAAGCCCCGCTGGAGGTGCTGCGAGCCTTGCGGTACGTGCAGTGGGGAGGGCGGTGAAGAGGGAGAGCGTAGGCTAGGGCGGAGGGAAAGAGGGGGCGCGGAGCAGGACTCCTGGGTCCCATTGCTGCCGCTGATTTGCTGTGGGATTCTGGGGAAGCCTCCTGGTTCGCTCTGCACCTCCGTTTCTGTAAAATGGGGAGAGCCCCATCTCAAGGGGGTTGAAGGGCCAAGCTAACGACTGTACAGGGTGTGGAGCTCCTTGAACGTGAAGGGCGAGGGTGGGTGCAGTGACGCCGCAGGGATCCCGCACTTGCACGTGCAGATCCCTACTAACCCAGAGAGATGCGGCTTAGCAGGGCAGACCTGACCTATTTCACCAGCTAGGGGGTCCTCCGGGCGCTGGGGTCATATCACAATGGTTCACAATGGTTCCTCCCCTCCCTTTCCACTAGGAGTGACTTCCTGAGTCTGCCCTTCCAGGCCATCGAGTGCAGCCTTGCTGGGATCGCCCCCGTGGGTGAGTTGCAAAGCTGTGGGCGAGGTGCTCTCTGCTGGGACGTGTCCCCGCGAGGGAACCAGACGGGCTGCCAGTGGGATAGCCCGACTGGGCTTGGCCAGCACCCAGAGGGAGGCGGCTCTTGATGGTTGCCAAGTGGCTGGTTGATGCGGAAATCTCCCATTTCCAGACCCGCCTGCACTTAGTTCCGTGGGGTTCTCTCTCTGCGTCCCGGGGAGTCAACCCCAGCCTCTGCTACGCTGTCTCTCCCCACAGGGGAGCAATGGGAAGAGGACGCCCTGGATGAATTCGATCGCCTCACCTGTTGTGCTGAGTGGAAGCCCCTGCTGGCCAAGATTTCCAGTTACGTCCAGTCTGGGGTCTGTACCTGGCCACGCATCCAGCTGTATGACACCAGCCAGGGACAGGTGAGCTCCAGAGGCTGGGTTGTCTGGCAGGCTGTGTTCTCCCCTTACAAACACAGCACTTGCTGGCAAGGGGTCTGTAGAGCAGCACGTTTCTGCATCTCCACTCCCCTTGGTGCGGCCGCTGGCAGCCAGAGCCTGGCAAGCCCGGGTGGGCTCGTCTCTGCCTATATTGAGATCAGGATTCAGTCAAACTCCTGTCCGTCTCTCTCTCTCTCTCCCTCCAACCTGTATCGTTCCCCAAACCACCAGTGCTGCTTCCTCTCTGGCACCTGCTCCCTTCTCCGAGCTGCACCCCCTTAGTTTCTTCCCCTTGTGCTGTCATCAGCCTGCAACTCTCTGCCCCTTCCTCTTTCCCTTCAGAGCCTTGATATAGGGGGGGAGCTGGTCCGGCTGGGTCACGCCGTGCGGTGTCTGCAAGAGGAGGATGACGCTGCGGGGGACGGCGCCCCCCAGATGGGGAAGGAGGCCACGGCCGAGGCGTTCCAGAAGATGCTGGTTAGTCAATCACTAGCCCCGTGGAAGGGCTGGAACCACCATTGGCGAGCAGCTGTAATGATCCCATTTGCGGCCTGTAGGAAAAAGAGCCTGAGGAAGTGACGTGTGCTGGGCGGAGGGGAGGGGCTCTAGGTGCCCTCTGCTCTCGGGCTGCCCTGATGCAGACAGCTGTGGGATCTCGGGCACTCCTGCAGCTGGAGGTGTCGTTTCCAGCTCCGGCTGATGTGCCCGCACTAGCTTTGATCAAGATAGCAGCATGGCTGCGGCTGCCCGGGCCGGCTGCCCGAGTTCGTGCCCGAAGTCTTTGGCGGGATTGCAGTCGGGCAGCCAGTCCGAGTTGCCGCCTGTGCCCGCCGCAGCTCTGCCGCTGTTACGAGCACGTTAGCTTGAGCAAAGCTAGCGTGTGTAATCTCCCTGAGCCAGGAGTCGCACCTCCCAGCTGTTCGCCTCCCCCACATGTCCCGCTCCTTGTTCTAAGGCTAGATCATCTCTGAGTCTGTTTGCCCCAGGCCAGTGGGACGGACGCCCCCCGAAAGAGTTGCTGTAAAACAGCTTCCGTGTTCTTCGAATGCAGAGGACAACATCCTAATTAAACCCTTCTCGCTCCAGGTGGAGCAATGCATGTGAAAGCTTTGGCACTAGCTGGCTCTGTCTGCCACGGGCAGGAGCGGCAGCACCACGGTGTAGGAGATCTCTGCCTCGGGGCTGGTTTCCTCTCCCCTCGACAGACCCTGGTTGCTTCTGCGCTGTGGATCCCGACAGCGAGGAGGTGTTTATCCGTGGGCACAGTAATCGGATTAACGCTACCTCTCTCTGTTGCTCAGGGGAATGCTGCAGGGACCTCCCTCGAGAGCCTTCTGTCGGAGACCTGCGTCAGCCTTTCAGGTACGCCGTTGTGATGGGCTGAAGCAACCTGCCCTTCCTGGGGGCGGCTGCTCCAACAGAATCTGTCTGCCTTAGGGTTGTATCTTGCTGCCAGTCACCATAGTGTCTGGGCACCTTCCACATCACATCAATAGCTACGTCTCTGGCTCTTCATGTGCCCCCGCTCCCCAAGATACCAGAGGGAGCAAAAGAACCGGGAATTAAGGCTTTCTCCTTTGTCTGAGACCTGATTCTCCCTTCTGCCACATGAATGGGGCAAAAAAATTGAATCTGTGTTTACTCTAGGGAAAAACAGAACCAACTGTTTCAGGCCTAGCACTTACCGTTTTGTTTCAAGGATTTTCACAAAATTCAGTATTAATTGGACAATATTCACGCAGTTCCTTTTAAACTTAATTCCTTAAGTGTGGATGGGAGAGGTATTTACTAATTCTTCTGCACTTCATAGCCCTAAGAGAACTCTGTGCCAGATGCTTGCGAATTAGAAACTGGCTGGTCAACTTTACGGGTAGTGTGACCTAGTGGGTAAGGCACTGGATGAAGACCTAGGAATCTAGAGTCTATTCCTGGCTCTGCCACTGATCTGCTCTGTGGCCTTGGGCAAGTCACTTCTGTGCCCGAGTTTCCCTTCCCTCTCCCTCCTTTGTCTACTCCCATTTGTGAGCTCTTCAGGGCAGCAACTGTCTCATGTCTGTGCAGCACCTGGCCTGATAGGACCCTGATCTTGGCTGTGGCCTCAAGGTGCTGCCGTAATACATGTAATTGCCCTGAAGCTGCCTGAAAGGCAAAAAGTAAATGGGGTAGAATCATAGAATATCAGGGTTGGAAGGGACCCCAGAAGGTCATCTAGTCCAACCCCCTGCTCGAAGCAGGACCAATTCCCAGTTAAATAGCTGGGTAATTAAAATTGAGATTTTTTGCAAATCCTTCCAGTGTTTAATAACTGGTGCTAATTCCCTTATTCCAAGTGCTGGATGGAGAGGGCTGTTTAAAGCTCCACTGGTCCTAATGCAAGAGAAGGAACATACTTGTAGGGGCTAATGCTGCCGACGGATGGGAACCAAAACCGGGCTTCCAGCTCTGTTTTCTGGGATCTAGTGAGAAGGCTGGGAATGTCATTTCAGTCGGACTTGACTTTTTGCAAGTGGCTGTGTGCGTAAGACTGAGTGTGACAAGTTTATGGAGGGGATGGTATGACAATTGCCTACAGTGGCACATGGCCTACCCGCGACTGCTATGAGCAAATATCTCCAGTGGCCAGTGATGGGACCCTGGGTGGGGAGGGCTCTGAGTTACTACAGAGAATTTGTTCCCAGGTGTCTGTCTGGTGCGTCTTGCCTGCTCAGGGTCTAACTGATCGCCATATTTGGGGCATGAAGGAATTTTCCCCCAGGACAGATTGGCAGAGATCCTGGGGGATTTTAGTCTTCCTCTGCATCATGGGACACGGGTCACTTGCTGGTTTGGATGAACATTCGGAAATATACAGCCTCCGTCCACACGAGATACAAAGCGTGTATCCCTCAAACGCTCTGCAGGGGTTAAATAATCCGTTAGGCAAAGGAGAAAAATTACTTCTAGCTGTGATGGGGAGGAGAGTTGGGGCAGAAAGGTTCAAGAAACCCCCTCTAGGCTTAGACCGGGCAGCAAGGAAGCCAGGAGGAGATAAGTGGGGAAAGGTGAAGAGCAGAAATCGAGGGGAGGCTGTTTCACACAGCAGTAGCTGCAGAGGAGAAGGCTCTTGTGCCAGCAGGGGCACAATGGGACAGAGAAGAGACTGGTGTTAGAGACCTAGTGGGGTGGGGGGAGGCAGTAGGGATCTTGTGTCCATGTGCTGAAGATGCAGAGGAGAGAGCGTGGCCCAGCCCCCCATGTAATATGTGCCTTTGGCTTGGTAGATAACTCCATTGAGCAGCTCCGAAGTGACACCGAGCCCACAGAACCACCCTCCCAGAAGACAGTCATGCCCTCGCTCTGGTCCCTACGGATCTCTGCTCCCTCCTGCCCTCTGCGGGACTCGGAGGCTCTTGCCTTGCAAGCTGGCGGTGAAAAGCAGAATGGCTCAGGGGGCTGTAGCAGCGAGGGGGTGTCGGAGGCCAGGGGGTCTCTGTCAGCCACCGGGAGCCAAGCAGCAGATGACAAGTGGACATCTAGTCCTGCTGATTCCACGCATCCCACCGCCTTCTCGGGAGAGGACTCTCCCATCTCCCTCTCAAGTAAAGGCTCCAGCACCTCAAACGCCAGCTTCCCTACTGCCCTGACCTCTGGGGACAGCAGCTGCTACTCCCCCCGGGGCTATTTCTATTACCTCTCCACTTCAGAAGAGTGGTCCAACTCCTCTGTCTTCTGCAGCGGCTCAGGCTCTGCCGGCGATTCCCTCCAAAGCCCTGTCCTCATCAGCTGCTCTGACAGCGAGGAGGAGGAAGGGGGGCTGAGGGCCCGGAGGAGAGGTATAGAGGGCACCATGGGCACCGCACTGTGGTCTGGGGTGTCGGAAGCACAAGGAGTACAGATTTCTGCTGCACTGGCAGCCCTGAGATGCAGGAGTGTCCCATGTGCTCTCCCACCCCTCCCTGCTTGCAAGGGGGCAGGGATTTGTTTGGCTTGGAGTGGCAGCTACTGGTAATCTCCACCAGCTGGCAACATCTGCTCCTCCCGGCAAGGGCCTCAATCCTTGGCAATGCGTCTTACCTTTCAATGTGGCATGGGCCGTGGGAAGGTGCTCAGTGCCACTTCAGGCACCCCTGCATCGCTGGGCTCAGGCCTGCTTTCATTTCTCCTGGCGTAAATCCGGAGCAGCCCCATGTTGGTGACTGGGGTTCTCTGGCTTAAGCCAGGTGTAATTGAGATCTGAACCTGCCCACTGGGTGTCGCTGCAGCACAGATCACCTGCTCTGCAGAGCAGGCGAAGGGGGCGTGAAATGGATGCACGGGGGCTCTTAGTGTCAGCTGCGGCATGACTCTCGTTTCTCAGTGCACCGGGGCGCACAAGTGGGGAGAGGTGGTCCTTCCTTGCACCTTGAAGCAGCTGGACACTGGCTAGGGCTCTTCCTGAACAGAGCAGGTTGTCTCTCTGCAGCCTGTCGCCAGAGAAGGGGGCACAGACTCTGGCTGCACGGTGACTTGGCTCTTGGTGGCAGGCCGGCGCCGGGGAGCCATGATGCTGCGCCTGTTCTACCCGCTGCCTCTCCTCTTCTGTGCAGAAGCCGCCTCTGTGTCTGGAAGTGGTGACGATGTTATTCTGGTCGAAGATGATTTGCTGTGATCCCCTCCCCACCCCTTCCCCGAGCAGCAGCGAGCCGGAGGCGTCGCGGAGGGTGGTGCGTAAGTTTCAGTCTATTTGCGGTGGTACTGGGCCCCCGGCTGTCTCCGGGATCCTGCTTTCAGGGCAGAGGAAGGGCCCCTCTTGTACGGTGCACGGAGGCCTTGTCTGCACTGCCGTGCTTTGTGTTTGCCAGCATGGCTGCCCTGAGAGCGGGAGGCGCTGCTCAATAGCGCCCCCCGTGGGCAGGTTAAGGAGTGGCACTAGTTACAGTCTGAGGCTGTAATACACCCACTCCGGGTGGCTATTTTAAGCAAGCCGCTGCAGCTCCCTGCGCTCTTGAGCATTGCACTCAGTGCCTCTGCTTTCTTGCCTTCCCTTTGGTCCCTAGGAGGTTGGTGCCTGGATTGAGACGACCATGAGGACTCCCCGGCGGGGGCGGAAGAATAAAATACTGCGGGGAAAGTGGAAGGAGAGACCACAGCCATTGGGGACTTGTGGGACCCACCCCTTCTCCGGGTCCTGAAACAACGGGTTTGCATCGTAACCTTGTCCTCATCTGTGGGCATGTGTGTTTGGGGCGGGGGCTGCACCGCATCGAGTGCATGTTGCTGGTGTGTGACTGCCCTTCTTGGGGGCTCTCTGGGATGCGGGGGGCTGGGATGGGGAGTGGGTGTTTTTCATTGCATTTGGAGGGTGCTGGTCCTAGAGATCCTGGGGCTAACTGCCAGCGTCTGTTGAGTCGGACGCCGGGGTTCCGGCTATGCGGTTCTGCGGCGCTCCGTGGAATACAGGTGTTCCGGGGGTTGCCGTGTTGCAGTCCCCTTCTATCCCAGTTGACGGCTGCTGGGCTGTCCTGGTGTAAATCCAGAGTAACTTCACGGACTGCATTTGAGTTGTCTATAGCTGCTGGTGTAACAGAGAGCAGTATCAGGCCTGCTGGGCCCCACTTCCTTCTGGACAGCTGAGCCCCTCCTTCCCTGGACTGGGGGGAGGCCCCCGCTCGCTCTCCTGCAGGCCATTTGGCTGGGTTGCGCTCGCTGACTTCGGTTTTGGTTTAAATCTCGGAGCAAGGCGCCTGCACCAAAGGCTCCACTCCGCCGTCCTTCCCACTGCAGGAGGGAGACACCGGCGCTCTGGTGACGTGACTGGCTGAGCTTTCTCTGCTGCAGAAATGGGGCCGGAGGATGGTTGTGACGCCCCGAGCTTTGACAGCACTTGCTTTAATAAAATAAAAGGTTTCTTCTTTTTGAACGTGAGAATCCTCTTAAGCTGCCAACGTTGGAGCTGCATTTTCGTTTCAATAAACGCAGACTGAGCTGGTCTTTTTTTCTTTTTTGGTGGCTGAATCTGCTTCGGTGCAGAACCGCCCCAGCATGTAGCATTTGTAGAGAGTTTTGGAGGGGGTGGTTTCTGGAGCGCTCTGCATGGACTTACTGGTCTTCCCCTTGGAGATGACGGGAGCTGAGTTAGGCCAGAAGCGGGGGCTTTGAAGATTTGCTTCATAAAGGAGAAGTCTGGGCAAAGTGTGTTTAGCCTGCTGACCACTGGAGAGTACCTGGCTGGCTCCGTCAAAGTTCCTGTCTGGGAATTGGCCAAAGCTTTATGCCTCTATCCAAAGTGGCTTTGGAAGTCTCTCACTGCAGAGGCTGCCTTGTTGTGAAGATGGGCATTTCCTGCCAGATGGGTGCATTGTTTTCACCCCAGCCCCATTTGGGGGGGTGAACAGGGGGCGATCAAACAAGGTTTGGGAGAGCTGTGTACCTCAGCCATTGGTTTCTTTCTTAAATAAAAGTTCCATTGAGAGTTTTTCTAGTGAGTCAGCCAAGTCCTTGGGGGATGCGTGGGGAGGAGGGAGGCCTTAGAACTGGGCTGCAAGATGCCAGGGGTCTGTTGCCCACCTTGCCTCTCACTCTGAGACATCATGTTAGTCGGATTCCTCCTTCTGCCTCTTGCACCGTGCTGTAGAATAGGGCTGATGATGCATAATTAGTGGGTGAGGGCCTTTGCTGTTCATGGGGGTCAAGCTCTGGGTTAGCCAGCTCCAAGTGCAAATTGAGGCCCCTGGGGGAGAAGGGCTGGCTAGTGGAGGGAGAGGCCTGCTGACCCTAACTCTACCATCACTACCTCCCCCTGTAGCCAGAGCAAGTCCACAGGCCTTGTTGGGCTCATTCCCTCACCATTGTAGTCAGAGGGTGACTGAGAGAACTGGAACAAGCCTCATTTCCACTAAAAAATTCCAAGGGTCTGCCACTTGGGGTCTAGCAGGGTCTCTGGAATTTTTTTAATGGAGCCAGGTGCAGGTTTTCTAAAGCTGTTGTGTGACAGTCTGAGAAATAGCACTGAACACAGGGCCTCGCTTCCCTTGGCCACCTGAGCAGCAGGAATCTTGAGGGGACGATGTTATAAACAGCCAGTACCCATCTGCTGGCAGCCTGTCCTGCAGAAGTCACCCAGGCTAGGGCTTCAAACTGGGGGTGGCACAAGGGCATGGAGATTGGGCAGTGAATTTTGGGTGCCTGAGGCAAGGGGTAGTGGGGTAACGTCTCCTTCCTCTTGCTGGGAGCTCCCACACTGGGAAATCAGCTGGGGCCTCAGTCCAGATCACAAGGCCCAGCACTGATTGTACAGTGGGACTCGGTTCAGCTCTGCAGCTGATCCTGCCAAGTCAGGCTGGAGGCATGTTAGTGGGGCAGTTGATTGGGACCCTATGCAGTTTTTATGAACACCTGTGACCTCAAGTGTGAGTCAGAAGCTGCAAGGTTGAGTCTTTCTTTCCTCCCTGCCCCCAGTGCATTCTGCATTGAGTGTCAAAGCCCTTCCCCCAACCAGACACCACACCTGTGCTTTCACACCTGTTTAGTGATGTTCAGTGGGGACACGCTCAGTTACACACATCAGCTCAAAGCCTCTGCCCGATCCTGCCAGTTCCAGGCCCAAGTTAAATGGGAGCTAAGCCGTCCCCCCTCCATCCTGTCCTGTCTTTGAAGAATGCCCAGCTTCAGGAACTCTCATGCCAGCTCCGGACAGCAGTCTCGCTCCAGCGGGCAAACCATGAAGATAACGTCCTCCCAGGGTGGCAGCGAGGGATGGTCTGGTCTGACCACCTCAAAGCCCAAGTAACTGAATGCTCGGAACAGGTCTCCTGGGGGTCAGAAGAGACAGGGTCACAATTATTAAAACTAGCTGTTCTGACCTCCACTTGGGATCACATGCCCCTTAGCCCCAGTGTTCGTGTTCCTCTAGAGTTACTAGACCCTGACATTACTGTGGGATGAGAGCAGAAAGGGTGGGGTGCTCCATGAACACATAAAATTGTGCGATCAGCTTCCATTGAAAAGCCTCGGCTGCATGACAGACGTCAGACCAGGGCCTTAGTCTTTTAATTGCAAAGTCAAATAGCTTCTCTTACCTACAAATACAGTAGTAATGGCTCAAAATACTGCAGTTCCTATTGTCACAGAGCACTGCAGAATTGTGTACTTTGTTTTAAAATATGGGTTCCCACTGGACATGCACCCTCTGTTCTTACATACAGAAAAGTTGGGAGAACAATATTCTTCTTTTGACTGCTGGTCTCTGTGCATTGCACATCCAGGGTAAATAACAGCCATTACTGGACAAGCTGTATGCTGGGCAGAGAGCAGCCTCTGCTCCCGTTAACAGAAGCCACTAAGCTAGCAAGAAAAGAAAAGATTCCCATGGAAACGCATTCACTGTACATTAAGTATCAAAAACATGGCACAAGCGACTTGCACTTCTCTGTACGTGGAAGGTGATCAATCTCTGTGTCTGGGATAACCTACCAACCGCAAGCCCGGAGGGCCCCTTACCGCGATCGCTGCGAGCCAGCTGGAAGTTCACAAACACGAGGTTCACGGCGGTCTTTTCCTCCACGTATTCCAGCGTCGCAGTCAGGCTAGAAAGAAACACACCCCTGTGCTCGAACAAGCTGAGAAATAGCCCCTGGGGGGAGTTCCAAAGGAGTGAGGTGCTCAACTCCCATTAAAATCCAGGGGGAGTTGGGGGGGCTGTGAAAATTCTAGCCCTTCAATATGGATTTGATTGATACAGGATTGGTTGGTCTAGTTCTGTAGTACTGTGATTTGGTGGCACTTGGGAATTAAAACACAACACAACCACAAGCAGCAGCTGTATAAAACCCAGTTTGGTCCGCCGGAAAGAGAGAAACAACAGAGGAGTTTCAAACCTCTATGACATTTCCAAGACTGAAGAGGACCAAGGGGTTGGATTCGTTTAAGGGGGGGCTCATTTAGAAGCTGGCACAACTGTTATGGCTGAGAAGAGCTGAATAAAGTTACATGGGTCCCTCAGCCAGCCTTCCCCTGACTTAGGCAGCTTGAAGGCGCAGCCCCAGTGAGCACACAATGGGCATGGAGGGTCAGCAGTTACTGTCTATGATCTTGGACACCACACTGTGGGAGCTGCTGCCTTTTTCCTGCCAGCCACCTAATGTCACAAGGTGTGGGGGTGGGAGTGATTTCCAGCCGCAGAAAGTCAAGGGATAACTATAACCTGGCTCAGGAGACATAGGCCCTGGGATCCTTAACATCCCAGCGCTTTGAAAGAAATGACGCACAGATGGAATAAAGGACCAGTCAGCAGCACGCTCCAGAGGAGCTAACCCTGTGCTGCCCAAGGACTTCGCGGGGCGTGTCCAGCTGTCTGTCTCTAAACTGCAGGACTGCAGCACCGAATGCTTTCAGGCTCTTCGGTGTGTTTGCAAATTAAACTGGAGTTACCCTAGATCGCAAGTGTCTCAGGGAGGCAGCGTCCAAAACAGGAGGGTGATGGCTGGAGCTGCTTTCTCCCATGGCCTCCAGACAAAGGAGGCGGGAAAGCCCCTCTGCCATCCTGGGCCAGGCTCCTTACCTTTCGCGGTTGTTTTGATCCAGGGCGCCGCGGGGCGTGTCCAGGAAAAGCTTGCCGTCAGTTAGGAGTCCGTGCCAGTGAGCAGAGCTGTGGGGACCTAGTTGGAAATGGAAGTCCAGCTGGACAGGGAGACCAGGGAGCAGAAGGTCGCCAGCAAACACTGTCAGGTTCCCAGCCTGCAAGAAAGCAGCGAAGCCCCGTTACCAGGCGCGCTGGCTGGCTGAGAGCCAACACCTGTTAACGCTGGGGTCTGCCAAGGGGAATCTAGCTCTACACCCAGATCCTACTGAGTGGGACCTCCCAGTCTGAACCCCTGCCCATGGCTCAGGCCCATGTGCTCTAAGCGCCGGGGAGCCTAGACTAGGATCTAACTGAGAAGACCTGGGATTTACAGGCAGGAAGCCAGCATCATGCAAGGCAGCTTCCTCCCTGCGCTATTTCCCACCTAAAGAATCTGAAACCGTTTCTTGTTCAAAGGGCAAACGTTAATGATTGCTGCCCTTCCAGTTCCTCTGGGCCCATCACCCTCCTCTGTAGACACCCCAATCCTCATCTCCTTTAGACACAACCTGTAGCTACAGAACAATCCCCTTGATGCACCCTGGACTCAGCCAGGCGGCGGGAGGTTGCCTACCTTGTACAACTCTTTTAGCTCGCCCTGGTTAGCCCCTCTGCTGGCCGGGCCGCCTCCCAAGGACTCAGGAACATTGGAGGCAGTAGCGAGGTCTGACGGTCAGGCTCTCGCGCTCAGTCAGGGTGATACTTGAAGGACAAGAGAGAGAAGGACAGCAGGGATGAAATCCTGGCCCGTTTGCAAGTCAAGGGGAGTTTTGGCTTTGACTTCAGTGCGGCCAAGGTTTCATCCCAGGTCTGTAACAAATTGCTCCTACAAGGGAAAATCCATTGTAAATTCCTCAGCTCCTTATCCCTTATCAGGCCGAACAGTCCTTTATTCTGTAATTAGCTACAGTGAAGGCAGATGCTACCTCATTGTTATGGCACCAAGCATGCAGCCTGCTTTAAAGGACATTTGACTGATTGGTGTTGCCTCGGAGAGCCGTATGCCCTGAGGAATCAAATCAACGCAGCTGGAGAAGGTACTTTGAGGGTAAATACTGTAAATGATTCCCAGCTTGACTTGACCTGCAGGAAACCACCCAGAGGGGTCAATCTTTTCCACAAGGCCAGTTTAACTGGTGGACAGACTGTCCTGTTCATCACCTTTCTGCTGGGAACTAACTCTGGCTCACAGTTAGGAGCTTTATTAACAAATGCAAAACACCCTCATTAAGAGTAAAATCTGTGACTACTTGAATAGTATGTGGGGGGGGGAGGTGTTTCACCCTCCCCACTTCAACTATATACAGAGACATTGGGGGGGAAGGGCAGCTGATTTCAGAAGATGCTGAGCCACCCTCCCCTCTGAAAACCAGGCCTTTCTAAGGGGTCTCAAGTTGGGCTCCTAAAATCACCAGTTGCTTTTGAAAACGCGATGGTTGATTTGTGGTGTGGTCACGCACCAGGACCCAGTTGTGCTAGGTGCTGTATAAATACAGAACAAAGGCCAGTCCCTCCCCCACAGACTTTACAGTGCAGTAAAATCTTGGCCTTAAGAGATCAGATATACGCCCCAGGCACCCCTTGTTGGTTTTTTGAAGGATGAATCATTCTCAAAGCTCCAAAAACAACGATCAACCAGTTACAGGCTGGCCCCCGGCTCCGGAAAACAGGGACTTCTCCCCTTTCCAGACATTTTTACCAACATAAGGGTTTGATTCCCACCCCAGTGCCAAATAGAAGGAAAGCGACAGTTCCCTGTTAATCTTCGATTGAGGGGGTGGGAAAAGCCACTCACCTCCCGTGGAAAGGCACCATCCTCCGCCGGTAGATGAGGCGATAGCGATAGCAGTAACAGT